TTCTAGGTGCTGTTGTCAGTATGAGGCCATAGAGATAGTTCTTAAAAGAGCACAGTGCTCAAGGCAGAGATTTTCTACTAGTTGATCTAAACCACAGGGTTTTCACCGTCTGGTTCCTGGAAGCAGACCGTCAGGCCTTTCTTCCTAAAAGTTCCGTATGAGGAACACGGAGTCTGGTAGCGGGGCCCATCTTAGACGTGACTAACGTATCAAGTTACCAGGTGCCAGTCTGAGGCAAAAGGCCATCTCTGAAGCGGAAATGAAACTCTGAGCTGCATCTTCTTTGATTAAGGCAAGGAGCAGCGTTTCTGGGCTTCTCTCCCTCGGTGATTCATTTTATTCTCTTCTTCTGTCGCGCCCTCCCCAGTTCCTATGCACGTGTTTTATTCCATCTTGAGATCTGGACCATCAGTAGCGATGTCTGGTGCATCAGCGGACTTTAGGGACTTGCTTTGTCGTCTTATGCACCCAGCTAACATTGTCATAAATACCAGCAGCGATCACACACCCCCTCCCGCTTCTGTCTCAGTCTGTGGAGCCCTTATCCCTGGTGTTCTCGTTTCGGAACAAAGCCTGAACATGGCACGGTGACATTTAATTTAGTGTTTCTCATTTCAAAGCCCTTAAACATATTAATTAATTCCCAGAAAACCCCAGGAGGCGTATTGTTAATATCGGCAGTGCCTTTCATGCTCGTCCCTTGAGGTGTCCTGTCTTTGCAGTAGATGAGAAAATGAGGCTAAATCGTTTGTCTGCGGCCCCCAGGATGAGACCTGGGCAGCGCCAAGGTCGGAAATAACAAGTCCCTGGTTTTCTTGGTGTCTCCGAGTAATCTGACGCTGTGGTCTTGTGTGTGGTTTGGAAGAACAACACTCGTACTTATGAGCAGTCTCAGAAGACATTGGACGCGTTCTCTGAGGAGCGGGGACTTCGCCAGTCCCAGGTGGAGGGCTGTGTAGGTGAGAGGAGAATCCCGACCCTGCGTGTGAGGAGTAGTGAGTGAGACGTGGGTGGGGGCACTAGACGATCCCCCGC